CTCTAGAGGCTGAGATCTGAGGATCTCGGTTGAAAGCCAGCCCAGGCAGGAAAGTCCATAAGGCTCTTATTTCCAGTAAACAACTCAAAAAAACAGAAGCGGTGCTGTGGCTCAAGTGGTAGAGCGCTAACCTTGAGCTGAAGAGCTCAGAGACAGCGCCCAGGCCCAGAGTTCAAGCCCCACAACCGACCAAAAAAAAAAATGTGATAGTCGTCACAGTACTTGCTTCTGTGCAAGTAGATAATGCACAATACATAGTTTCTGCTCAGATTTTAAATTTTCATATATCTGAATTGGGATGTCCATGTATCTCAAAGCTCATGTCAGCTACTGTTAGAGTCAATAAGATTTCCTAATTCTCTAAAAGTGCAATGTTGAGAGATCAATAGTCAATGGAAAGCTGTTACCTAGGAGAGGCTTTATTTGTTTAGATTGTCGTTATTTCTGAACTAGCAGGTCATTTATTATGTTATAAAATATCATTTGCATAAAGGTATTCATCTGCCTCCCCTCGAATTTATGTAACTGGCAAAGAAAATATATATTCCCAACATTTATTAAAGTTCCAATGTACATTTCTTTGAGCCCAAATTTTCCTTGGGGTTACAGTCACTCTGTGTCTACTACCACAAAGTTCATTTATTTCCAGGGTTTGTCTCCCCTAAGTAGTGTGAAAGTTAATATTCTTGACTTTTTCTCATTCACACTAAAATTGTAGATGCACTCGGGATTGCCTACGAATTCATGGCAAAAAAAAAAAAATTGGGGGGACTTTTGGTTACGTCTTTGTTTAAGCTTTATGTCAACCCAAATGAGGGTGGCACAATCATGCTCAGCAGCAGACTGAACAACATCTTCCAGCCTCATTTCCAGACTGTCCCTTCCTGAATAGTCCATCTTCCTTTCTTTGACTAAAATGCCCCCTGGTGTTTGTTTTGAATTTAGCAACCAGTTATTGGCCTCTTTTCCATTTGAAGGATCTCCTGGTGGTTTTTAATCATGTTTCTTTCAGGCAGCATATAGAGGCAAATTAAAATAGTAAGACTTCATTAAAAATAATAGCAATACGGTGTCTTAGATTTCTAATGAAGAATGATGCTACAGTTTGGATTAAGTATCTTGGACTGGTTTTAAACAGAGCTTTCTACCGGATTTGCTGAAGCATCTGTCCAGCTCTTGGTAACCTGTGAAAGTTTGTTATTTTCTGGGTAGACATTCTTATAGAGTATCGTCTTTAAAATCAGATCATCTCTTCTATATTGAAAGCATTTTTATGTTTTCTAATTTAAAAATTATTTTCTTATAGATATTGTGCAATAAAGCTGAAGTAGAATGTGTGGTTTTTGCAAATGCTTTAACAGCTGATAAAATTTTACATTTGTAAAATTAATATATTGTACTGGTACAAAATAGTTTTAAATTATATTTTGAGAAGCTCCCCCTCCAAAAAAATAATAGTGATACTTCATTTAAAAAATAGCAATAACAGCACCCCTTGCCTGAAATGTTTGGGACCAGAAATGTTCCCAATTTGGGATTTGTTTGCACTTTTGTTTTGGTTTTGCTTTGGGGCTTGGGTTTGGGATTTTTTTGGTGCTAGGTCTGGGACTTGAACTCAGGGCCTGGGCACCATCCCTGAGCTTCTTTTGCTCAAGGCTACCACTTGAATCACGGCTCCATTTCCAGCTTTTTGGCAGTTTATTGGAGAAGAGAATTTTCATAGACTTTCCTAGCCAAACTGGCTTCCATCCTCAGATTTCAGTCTGCTAAGTAGCTAGGATTATAGGCATAAACCACAAGTGCCCAGCCTAATTTGGATTTTGATATATTTGCTTACACAAAATGAAATGCCTTGGGGAAAGAATCCAACTCTAAAAACAGAGATTTGTTCAAGGTTCATTCCACACACATAGTTTTATAAACCATTTGAGTAGATGTTTATCTTGTCATTAGTAGTCAGGGACACATTTTTGCCAGTGAACTCTTGAGAGTGCTAAAAAGCTTCAAACGGGGAATTTGGGGGAACTTTAGCATTTGGGTTTTGGGAATTACAAATACGTGGAGACAAAACTCTCCAGCCTGCTCCCCCAAAATGCTGAATCAACAACTTTCTGTGTCTCATTTCCTCCAGGGAAAACTCTGGAGGAAGTCAGGAAGTTAGGAAGTCATGGTAGGACTACCTTATCTGAAAGGCCAAGAACTCAAGACCCAGAGTTCAGAGAGTTTCCAAGATATAAAATGAATTGTGTTCACTACCTACAACCTCAGCTCCCTCATCACAGAGTTGGGATTGATGAAGGCAATAATCACGAGTATTATGCTAAGTCTATTATGTGTCCCCATCTCATGTGAGCCTCACAATGTTGTTTTGAGGGGATCATTGTCTTTATACCTGTTTAATACACAGAGAAAGAAAGTCTTTGGGGCTGGGTGCTGTAATCCTAGCTGTAATCCTAGCTACTCCGGAGGCTGAGATCTGAGGATCGCGGTTCAAAGCCAGCCTTCACAGGAAAAGTCTGTGAGACTCTTATGTCCCATTATTTACCAGAAAACCAGAAGTAGAGCTGTGGCTCAAAGAGGTAGACCACTAGCTGTGAGCAAAAAAATTCAGGGGCAGCACCCAGGTACTGAGTTGGAGCCCCATGATCTACAACAGCAACAAAAAAGAAGTCTTGGAGAGAGAGGTAAAGAAAACACAGGTGCTACCTGCTACACAAATAGCATTTGAAACACCACACTGGTTCTACCATCTGTGTGTAAAATCACTACTTACCTTACTACCTTTTCTAGTAACTGTGTACATATATACAGAAATGTAGACAAATGGTAGGTATGTAGCTATGGAGAGGTGTGGGTATATATGTATTAAGGTACATCTGATAAATCAATATGCAAGAGACAATGTTGCTTTCTGCGTTTCAAAACTATAATGAAACAGTATCCCAAGTCCTTGTCCCCAGGATGGAGGAGAAATTGGTTCCCATCTTCTTCCTTCAGTCCATACTAGAAAACCACTGAGTGGGCTAGGAAGATGGCTCCATGGTTGAGTGCATGCATGAGTCCCTGGGTTCAAGTCCTCAGCACCACATAAGCCAAAAAAGCAGAAGTGGTGCTGTGGCTCAAGTGGTAGAGTGTTAGCCGCCATCAGCTGAAGGACAGAGCCCAGGCCCAAAGTTCAGGCCCCACGACTAACAAAAAGAAAAGACAACACTGAAGTGACACTGTGTTTCTTAGACTGTGGTTCTGCAAACCACATTCCTGGGTGTCAATTTTATTTCATCATTACATATTTTGGAAGTGGCCCAGAGGGCAGGCGTCCATGATTCTGTGGGCACGCCCTACAGCAGTTTTCTGGTTTTCTGGCAGAGGCTGCGGCATTGACGCATTGATGTAGGTCCTGACCTCACTGGCTTTGAGGAAGTGGGGGCAGGGCTACACACCCATTCTGGGAGTGCAGTTCCTCTCAGAGACAGAGGCCTCTGAGGGTAGTGACGTGTCTGCCGTGGTTTCCAGGCCACTTGGCAGCTTCCAAATTATAGCAAGAGAGGTAGAGGAAAGGGGCCAGCTGTGATCATGTGAAGAGGGAGGACAGGGTCCCTCAGCACCCCACTTTCCACACATATTACAACAATGTGAGATCTATATTCAATAGCATCTCAAGGAGTCCCACAAAAGGAGAGTCTTGCAAGGCATACGTTTTGGCAAGGATTTATTTCAAAGAAACAGGCCTGGCACTGGTGGCTCAGCCTTATAATCCTAGCTACTTAGAAAGCTGAGATCTAAGAGTGAAGGTTCAAAACCATCCAGGAGAGGAAAACTCATATGTAGAGAACTCTGAGAGTAGGACCAGGAAAGAGGTAAGAGGTAGAGATGCCACCGGTTACTATTAACTGGACCCTAAGATGTTTAACTTAGAGCCATTTGGACCCTAGAAAGCTTGTGATCTTGGGGATAAGATGAATGTCTATGTTACAGTTAACTGTTTATGGCTTTCCTCTGCTCGTTAACAATAAGGTAGTTAACGGTCACTATGTATACAAACTATACATCAGGTTAATGGTTGTAATCACAGGATGGATTGATAACCTGTTTTCTGCACATACCTGTACTGGCCTCCCCTGCACTGAACTAAATAAATAAGCTTGCTTACAGAGATCTCGAAGTTCAGAGGCCCATGCGTCCTGGACCTGCTGGCTCCCTGCCTCTCTCTGTCTTTTCTCCGTTCTTCTGCTCGGGTATCCCTTCGTGTTGTCTCGGGGTGCGGGCAGCCACACCCATGACACACATACCTCCAATTAACCACCAACAAGCCATAAGTGGAGCTGGGGTTCAAAGGATAGAGTGCTAGCTTTGAGCAAGAAAGCAAAGGGACAGTGCCCAGGGCCTGGATTCAAGCCCCAGGACCACAAGTTAATTATTTAATTAGAAGAAATGGAGGCAAGACTCAATTGGTAAAGTCCCTGCCTAGGAAGTGGAGGCCGTAAGTACCAACAATAGGACTGCCCAAAAATGAGACACCACAGAAACATACAATAGAATTAGAGGAAAAAACCACAGACTCTCAGACCCTAAACACAGAAACAGCCAGAGCTGAAGGCAGCCAAGCCAGGGCAGTTCCTGTGAATAAGGACCAGAGAAAGATTTGGCTCAGGAGGACAGACATACTGAAGCATGTTATTTCAGCCCACACAGACACCTTCCTCCATGCAGTCTCCTCAAAGTGGCTGCAGGACACAGCCTCAGTTCACAGGAACCCAGGAACAAGGGAACTAGTGAGCAACAGCCACATCCCCATCAGCACCAACAACCCGTGGAGGAGGAGGCACAGGTGACATGGCACCACCGCCACTCGCCTCCCCTTGATTGTCTTAGGGCTCCTTATCATGTAGGACAACATCTGAGGCTGAGAGGTCCTGGGTGCTTGGGTGGGTGTACACCACCATGAGCACTCACTACTCCAGGATCCAAAGGAGCTCAATGCCACTGTGAGTGGGCCTTACCTGGAGAGCCTGCGGATACCCCATATGGGTCCTATAGGCAGCTAATTCCTGTGAGGCCCAGGAACCAATGTGACATCAGCGAGATGAACGTGCTTGAAGTCTATAATCAGGACCCCAAGGACTGGCCAGTGTGGTACTGCAGGGCCAGACCTAAATCTTGAGGTCAAGTCCTGTCCTCTTGAAATCTGAGGTAGATTCTAAGAGACTCACACGTGTGTGAAAGACCTAAAGAAGATAGGCAGGAAAGAGAGAAGGGGCTTATTTCTACCACTACTAAATGTATGAGGCATTAGGATGTGTTGTAAGGATCTGAGGTTTTTGTTTGCTTTCAGTAAGGTGCTGTTTGCTTCCAAATTTTTATATACAAGCAGATTCAAGGAGGAAAAAAAGAAAAATACACAGAAACTATAGATCTGTGATCTAATAGAAATCCAGTGCAAGCCACAATTTAGGCCCATATGCAATTTCATAATAACCACATAAAAAAGCAAAACAAGTGAAGTAAAAATTCTAATATTCTGCTTTAACTTAATATAGCTGAACTGATCTATTTTAAATTAATTGCATTTATTTTTCATTATGTGGTACAAAGGAATTGAACTTAGGGCCTCATGCATGCAAGGCAAGCATTCTACCGCTAAGCCACATTCCCAGCCTTTAACTGATATTGTTATTGAACTCAAATCATGATATCAACCTGTGCTCACTGCTGGCCACATCTTTGTTCTTTTGTTCACAACCCCATATTCCTCCTCTTTCCTAACCATGGCTAAAAGACAAATGATTGAACCAACCATTGTGAAAAAATCAACCTAAATGACTTAATCTTGGAGGAGCCATGCCTAACACACTGAACATTATCACCAGGAGGATGTGTCTTTTGGGCCGAGAGGAAGATCAGAACAAGAATCCTTACACAAGAAGACAGGGGAAGAGAGTATTCAGATGGTATTAAATCTGGACTCAAGTATGGCTCACGTGGTACAGGGCTGGCCTAGCAAACATGAGGCACCCAGTTCAATTCCTACTACTGACAAACACAAAAATTTCCTTAACACTCAGAGGAAATCCTTAGCCAGCACAATAAGGGAAGAGAAGGAAATGAAAGGGATCCACATAGGAAAAGAAGACATTAAACTATCCCTATTCACAGATGACATCATCTTGTACCAAAAAAAACTCCACTCCCATATGCCTAGATCTAATAAACCACTTTGGCAAAGGAGAAGAATACAAAATGAACCCACAAAAATCAGTTGCCTTTCTGTACACCAACAATATACAAGCAGAAAAGGAAATCAGGAAAACAACTCCAATCACAATAACCTCCAAAAGAATAAACTATCTAGGAATTACCCTAACCAAAGTTGTAAAGGACCTATTTAGTGAAAATTATAAAAATCTAAAGAAAGAAATCGAAGAGGACAACAGGAAATGAGAGACCTTTATCCTCCAGAGTAGTTAGGATTGCAGGTGCAAGCCACCGGCTCCTGGCTTATCACATTTTTTTGGGGGGGGGGTGGGCACCAGCTATGGAAGGAATGAGGTTTCAATGTAAAGTAAATTCCTCACCATTGCTTTGCATCATTACTCTGAAGAGCCACAGTGTGGTGTTTGTGAAGCTGTTATAGATGGATAGCTTTTTGGTGGACAGTTCTTCACCTAGTTGATCCTCTTCCAGGGAGCAGGTGGTCAAGCCAGGCTAGAAAGTAAAGTGGAAAGTCTGTTTCCTTGTGGAGCACATATAAATCAGTATTAAAATTTTTTTGGGTGTGACGTTATACATGTTTTAGGCCTTTAGGATGAAGGGATGGAGATTTCCTAGGTGTCTCATTGTGAAAATGGCAACATTGTGAAAATGGCCATACTGCCCTTCAATGCAATTCAGTCCAAATGACATTCTTTACTGAAACAGAAAACAATCCAAAAATTCATAAGGAACAGCAAAAGACCCAGAATAGCCAAAGCAATTCTAGGCAAAAGAAGCAATGCAAGTTGATGTTAGGTGAAATGAACCCCAAGATAAGTATTCAAATGATTTTTCATTCATGCAATTGTTTCTAACCTATTTGTAAGATGATTTCTTTGTTGCTTTGTATGTCCCTCCCCCACGGTATAACCCCTGCTTTCACTGTATTTGATGTTGGTATAATCTGTGGAGGGGAAGGGAAAAAACAAATCGTTTAACTAGGGATACAGGTGGACCCATTGCAACAATGAGATGTACAAGTCGTTCTGTCATAAAAACGAACTTTACAACTTTGGCGGAGTGGGGGGAGGGGTGGATACGACAAGCACACGTGTACCTCCATGTTCATTGCTGCATTGTTCACAATAGCCAGAATATGGAAACAAGCCAGGTGCCCCACCACCGATGAACAGATCCAAAAATGGTGGTACCTATATTCAATGGAATATGACACAGTCATTAGAAAGAACAAACTAATGGCATTTGCAGGGAAACGGATGGAATTAGAATAAAACATATTGAGCGAGATAATCTAGATCAGAGACACAAACAGCACATGTTCTCCCTGATATGCTGATGTTACTTTCAAAGTGGAATGAGATATAACAAAGTAAACAGGACTCAAGAAATAAAGGACCTGGGCTGGGAAGGTGGCTCAGTGGTAGAGCGCTTACCTTGCATGCATGAGGCCCTGGGTTCGATTCCTCAGCACCACATAAGCAAAAAAGAAAAAAGCCGGAAGTGGCGCTGTGGCTCAAGTGGTAGAGCACTAGCCTTGAGCTGAAGAGCTGAGGGACAGTGCCCAGGCCCAGAGTTCAGGCCCCACGACTGGACCAAAAAGAAAAAGAAATGAAGGACTTCTTCTTAAGTTGTCGTGTAGTTTCTAGGTGACTCTATGTTTTGGACCCCATACAGGCTGTATACACATGCACATCTGCGGGAAGCTAGGAGAAAGGCACAGATTTGGAGGAAAATGGGTGAAAAATACAGCAGAGGAGTCCATCAGCTGCACTGGACATTGAGGAAAGAGAACTAAGCAACTCATGGGCAGTGAGGGAGGGAGGGAATGAGAGAGAACGAGGGAACAGCTGACACTGTGCAAAAGCAAAGAAAGGAACAATCACCCCATTTGGAAGAAATAGTTCTGTTGTTAACGTTTGTACAGTTCATAAGCTTTGTAGATCAAAATAAGGGCAATTTGCATTGTGAAAGGTAAAATGTGTTTGTGACTTTAGCTAAGCATAGCTATGCTTATGAAATTTATGTGATTACTTAACAAAGAAATTTTTTTTAAAAACTCAAAGATTTTTTAAACTAAATAGCATTAAGAATGAGGCAAGAAAAAGTCAAAGACAGGCATGGTCATTGGAGAAGATGATTATTGACACAGAGCGATAAGAAATAATTGTAGGCAGGTGCTGGTGGCTCACACCTATGATTGTAGCTACTCAGGAGGCTGAGATTTGAGAATCTTCTTTCAAAGCCTGCCCAGGCAGGATCCATCTTGACACTCTGATCTCCTATGAAATCACAGAAAAAGCGGCAGTGGCACTGTGGCTCTACTGGTACAAGTTGTAGCTTGAGCACAAAAGGGCTCCAGGACAGTAGCCACGCCCTGAGTTCAAGCCTCAGGACTGGCACAAGAAAAAAGGAAGGAAGGAAAGCAGAAGGGAAGGCAGGCAGGCAGGCAGGCAGGCAGGCAGGCAGGCAGGCAGGAAGGCAGGCAGGCAGGCAGGCAGGCAGGCAGGCAGGCAGGCAGGCAGGCAGGCAGGCAGGCAGGCAGGCAGGAAGACAGGCAGGAAGGCAGGCAGGCAGGCAGGCAGGCAGGCAGGCAGGCAGGCAGGAAGGAAGGAAGGAAGGAAGGAAAGGAGGGAGGGAGGAAAGGAGGGAGAGAGGGAGGAAGGGATGAAGAGAGGAAGGGAGGGAGGAAGGAAGGAAAGGAGGGAGGGAGGGAGGAAAGCAGGGAGGGAGGGAGGGAGGGAGAGAGAATGACACAAAAAAGAGCAAGAAAAATGAAAGAGAGAAAAAGGTAGAAAGAGGGAAAGGAAAGAGACAAACAAGAAAGAAAACAAAAGAAATAACAAACAAAGGAAAGAGAGGATGGTCCAAGGCGGCGGCCGTGGCAGAGGCGGCAGCGGGAAGCTTCGGCTCGGCAGAGAGGGACAGCAGTGTGAAAAGACAGTTGAAGAAAAGAAAAGTAAATCTTGTGAAGCTGACATCTCCAGTGACCTTCGAAGAGAAATAGAAAATCATTATAAGCTTTCTCAGCCTGAAGATTTCTATCACTTCTGGAAGTTTTGTGAAGAACTTAATCCTGAAAACCCAGCTGATTCACTTTCTACAAGCCTTGGACTTCGATTAGTGGGTCCTTATGATATCCTTGCTGGAAAACATAAATTAAAGAAAAAATCCACAGACTTAAATTTTAATCTTCACTGGAGGTTTTATTATGATCCTCTGGAGTTCCATTATTATAGGAGATAATAAAACTCAGTACCACATGGGATATTTCAGAGATTCTCCTGATGAACTTCCTGTATATGTTGGTACAAATGAAGCAAAGAAGAACTGTGTAATTGTTCAAAGTGGAGATAAGATGTTTGCTGCAGACAAATTATTTTTGATGAAAAAACTTAAAGAAGCAACTGATAAAAAGAAAACCAGCCTCTTGAAAAGCACAGATGAAAAACTCACAGATGCAGCCAGAAAACTGGGATACTCACTGGAACAGAGAACCATGAAGATGAAAAAGAGAGACAAAAAAGTTGTTACCAAGACCTTTCATGGTGCAAGCCTGGTTGTCCCAGTAGATAAAAATGATGTTGGATATAGAGAGCTCCCTGCAACAGATGCTGACCTTAAGAGAATTTGCAAGACAATTGCTGAGGGTGCAAATGATGAGGAGAGACTAAAGGCATTTGCTCCTATTCAGGAAATGATGACCTTTGTACAGCTTGCTAATGATGAATGTGATTATGGCACGGGGCTTGAATTGGGAATGGACCTCTTTTGCTACGGTTCACATTATTTTCATAAAGTTGCTGGCCAACTTTTACCTCTGGCATATAATCTGTTGAAGAGGAACCTGTTTGCAGAACTTATTGAAGATCATCTGGCAAACAGAAATAAAGAGAACATAGACCAACTTGCAAGATAAATGAGGGTTTGTTCTGTTTGGTGTATGACCCGTCCAGCAGGCCAGGTAATTTTGTGGGGGATCCGAGGGGGCACCTCCTGAAAGAACCAAGGGGGGCAAGAGAGGATCGAGACCAAGCGCATTAAGAAAGACAGAGCCGTTCTGAGTCGCGTCAAGGTCTGCTTTATTAAAGTGAGGCAGGGTTTATATACCCGAAGGGACAGGGGAAAGGAAAGAATGAAAAAAACTTTGCAGAAGCAAGGGTGAGAAGTCCCAGGGTCAGGGATGGGTCGTGCTTATCCTTTTGGCTGTTGTGCTCATCTTAAAGGTATCTCCTGTTATTTCTTTAAGAGACATTTATGGTTAGCCAGGCGCCCTCTGCTTGGGGCTGGAGATAAGAGAAGTTTTATGGTTAGTCAAATGTTGTTTGCTTAGGGCTGGGGGAATATTTATGGTTAGCCAAATATTGTTTGCTTTAGGAAGTTATCTAAATGTACACCTTGGAATTTCTGAGAACGGCTACTTGTCAATTAGGTGTTTGAAAGAGGCCAGAGCATTCTTAGGCAGGTTTCGGGTCTCCAACAGGTGTATAATATTTTTAAATGCCATATCAGACTTACGGGGGGTTGTTTTTAAGGAACATGGAAAATAAATGGAAAAACGGAAACATTTACTAAGAAAAAAGAAAGAAAGGAAAGGAAAGAAAGAAAGAAAGGAAAAGAAAAGAGAAATAGTTTTGTGGTAGTTATGATGAATAACACACTGCTTCGCCCAAGGAAGTTGTAAAACAAGGGTCCATGCCAGCAGAACACCGTCCTGGCTCTGCTGCTGCTGCTGCGTACCGTGGTGGCTTCCAAAAAAGAGCTGAAGAAGTAGAGTGTGACCTTTGGACACTGGGCACGCACGGCTGGGCATGACGTGTCTGGGAGTGTCCTTCGCCCTGAGAGTCAATCAGGAAGCTGCACAGATGACGGAGTTTCCACGGGTTGGCGCCCTTAAGACCTTAGAACTCTCCAGATTCTTCGCCAGAGCCTGGGTGACGCCGGACACGGGAGGGTCGTGGGGAGAGGGCGCGGGCACGGAGCTGCGGGCTCGAGCAGAGGGCCCCGGAGCCGCGAGCCGGCCGGGCCTGCCTGCGGGACCCGGGGCTCAGGCGCGCTGTGCGCTTTCAGGCGCGCGCGCGGTCAGCGGACCATGGCGCGGGAAACAAGCCAGGATGGCGCGCGCGGGACACTCCGGATCCGCACCGCGGGACACCTGGATTCTGCGGCTGCTCTGCGGGCTGCTCTGCTGGAATGTGGCCGGTGAGTTCAGGTCCCAAGCCGGGAATGGGTGCGATCCGCGTGGTCTTCCCCGTGGGGCTGCGCCACGCCCCCCTACAGGACTCCTAGGGCCCCTGTCACCCAGGCCAGGGCCCAGCCGGCCTCCCCGCGCGCCCACCCGACCCAAGCCCAGCCCTGCCCAGCCCGCCAGCAGCCGGCCTGAGCAGCCATGGAGAAAAGTAACAGGGAAAGAACCCCAGGAGTAAGGGGGGCTGGGCTACAGCAAAGGAGAGGGCAAAACGAAAGTTTAAAGGCCAGACCCTTCCTTCCCCTAGCTGAACCACCCTCCTCACCGCAGCGTCCCCAGGGCCCCCCCCACCCCGCCGCCTCTCCCCACAAACACCAACACAGCATCTTCCTTCTGCTCTACTGTGGATAGGAAATCCCTAGCACAGGATATGAACAGGCAGGAGATGTGAATTACCCACAGCTGGACAATCTCCTCCCATCTCCTCTCCCTTTACACACAGGGCCACAACCTCCAGGGTACCCCCTGCAGTCTTTGCCTTTGAATTCCCTTCCTCCCATCCCCCCATCCTTTTTGGGGCTGGTCCTCAGGCTTGAACTCAGGGCCTGGCCACTGTCCCTAAGTTCCTTTTGCTCCAGGCTAGCACTCTAGCACTTGAGCCACAGCACCACTTCCAGCTGGCTTCTTTGCTCTTTAGTAATCACAGATGAGGTCTCATGCTCGTTCCTGCCCAGTCTTGTTCCAAAATTGGCCCTCAGATCCCAGCCTCCTGAGTAGCTAGGGTCACAGGAGTGAGCATTGGCTTCAACTGGGACCCTAGTCTCCTGAACTCAGATTTGAGTCTAGCAAGGTCTGAGTGTGGGTGGCCACTCAGCAGGGCCCCTGTGCTGCCTGTGGCTTTGGCTGGCCTGAGTGATAGGACATAACAGTTCCCATTGTTTGAGACCACTGTGGTCTCCTTGGCTGTCCAGTGGGTTCCTTGGGTCATCTGGGCCAAAGTGGGCACACCCTGAAGCCGCAGGTGTGAGCCACAGGTGTGACTTTGAGGTGAGATTGTGCCACCTGGGACTCCTTGTACAGGGCAATCTCAGTCCTGTGCTCTGCAGTAAGGGGCTGCTCTAGGTGTGCTGTCCCAGAGAAGATCCCTGCCTGTCTCCCTTAACCTACTGTGGTAAGTCTGACTATTCAAGCTCCTACATCACATTCCATGTCCTCATTTCCTGCCATCTTCGCTGTGTGAGAATGCCAGGCTGCCTGATGACTGAGAGAGGCAGTAGCCCACCTCAGCATGGTGCCGCTGAGGCTGTGTCCACTCATTCCCCAGAACCAGACAGCCCCTGTCTCCCAGCCCAGTGCCATGCCAGGCGCTTGCACTGCTGCACACATCTCTGTGGCAGATGGCACAGGATTCTGAACACCAGGTGGGACTGTCCATTTACCAATGGCCACGAATTCCACACAGCACGATTACCCAGCACACACCTCTCAGGGTCACAGGGCCCTGTGGGCAGGGGCAGACACATCAGCCATTCATGGGTTACCTGTGGCTGCTTCCAAACTATAGGAGCAGAGTCTCTAGCCTGGAAAGCCTGCAGTTCTTACAGTGTTGCCCTTCCTGACAGCCTCTGGAAAGTTCATGCCTGGCCCTGGAGCCTTAGTGCATGAGTGCAGTGCAGTGAGCCAGAAAGAAGCATTTATTGATGGGGGGCGGGGTTTGAAGGCTCCTCCTTCTGTGAACCTGCTCTCCACTTGAGAAAGAACTGTGGGTCTGTATGAGCAGTGGATCACTTCTGGAAACCTGGCACAGGAGCCAGCTTTTCTGGGAATGGCAGCCTTGGCTTCCTGATCACCCATCTCTGGGATTTGCCTTCAACTCCTCTTATGTAGCCATATCTGGGTTTGTGGCAGACTTATGATGTTGAGAAAATTTGGATTCTATGAACCTTGGCAGAGCCCTCTGGGGACCAGGCCCCTGGCTACAGCCAGCCTTGTTTTATATCGACCATTGTTCCCCATTGTCCATGTGGATTGAGCACTCTACCTGGGGTCTTTGTATTGGGACTGTACTGCCATCTCCTACCACCAGCCCTAGGTATTCAGTTCACTGATCTTTCAAAAACAGAAGCACTTCATTCACTGGCTATTCTTTGTATGCTTGGTAAGCAGCAGTCCTCTATGCCTTCCTATAGAGCAGATTGGACTGGATATGTCTCTAGACATGTTTCATATTTTGTCCACTTGGCAATGCCCTTCTCAGAACTTTGCTTGACATAGCAGACCTGAAATTTCCATGCCAATATCCTGTGCTTATGAATACAGGTATCTGCCTGAGAGAGAGGGCAGGTGGAACAGGAATACATGCTTTCTGGGCAGGCAGGGCCCTCTCTTCCTCTCACACCATGGAGGAGGATCTACACTTTACTAGTGCAGAAGGACCAAAAAGAATGTCAATATTTTCCTTTTTTGCCAACTCCAACTTCCTGAGGGATTTTCTTGGTCTCACAGTCTTGAGGGACAGGGTGTCTCTGGATTTCTTGCTCTTTATCTCAAACCTCATTGTATGTCTTCCCCCACAGATGCTCACTCTCTTTCCTATAATATCACTGTTGTTTCGAATCAGTGGTGGTTTGAAGCTCACGGCCAAGTGGATCAACATACATTCCTTTACTACAACAGTAGCAATGACACGTGCAGTCCTGTGGGTCTATTCGGGATGAAAGTGACTAAAACAGAGGCCTGGCAAAAGCAACCTGATATTCTGAAAGACGTAGGGGACATCCTCAGACAGCAACTGGCTCACATTAAATTAGAGACTGGTACAACCAAGGGTAAGTTCCAAATGGTCCTGAGAAGGAAGGAGCAGGTACGGTGGCAGATACAGGGAATGCATGACTTTCATGTAAAAAAAAAAAACAAACTAGATGTTAATTCCAACAAGTCCAGCATGAAGGCTGTGATGTGGAAAATAGAGGAGAGGAGAGATACAAGGAGAGAAAGCTTGGACACTGGTGGCTCAGGCCTATAATTCTAGCAATTTTAAGGCTAAGATCTGAGCATCTGGCTTTGAAGCTAGCCCCAGCAGAAATATCTCCAATAAATTGAAAAGCTAAGCTAGAGTGGGAGGTCAGGGGTTCAAAACTCTGTAGCAGGAAGAAAGGAGGAGAGAGGAGACAGGGAAGGGAAGGAGGGAAAGGAACACATTTGTCAAGACCAGCGTCTGCTTTCTTTCCATCTCTTTCCCAGGAGAAGATCCCTGCACCCTACTGGGCAAAATGTCTTGTCAGCCTGAAGGCAATGGAAAAATCAGTGGGTTCTGGCAGTTAGTGTACAATGGCCAGATACCCCTCCACTTTGACTCCAACACCCAGCAATGGACAGAGGTCCATCCTGGATCCAGCTGGATAAAAAAGATTTTGGAAGAAGACAGGTCTGTGACTGACCTCTTCCACAAGACCTTAGTAGGAGACTGTGCAAGCTGGTTGAAGGAGTTTTGGGGTCCCTGGGAGGAAATGCAGCCCACAGGTAATTTGGCATGAGCAGAAGACAGAGGTAACTCTCTTCAAATGACATATTTCTGACGTGTGTGTGTGTGTTTGTGTGTGTGAGAGAGAGAGAGAGAGAGAGAGAAAGAAAGAAAGAAAGTAGGAAGGAAGGAGACAGAGAGAGAGAGAGAGAGCGCGCTCGTAAACCTAGGCACGTGATGGTTCATGGTGACTTTTCCTTGGAGGAATGATCACAGGTGCAATCCTCCCATCTCTTCTCTTCTTATCTCCCTGACTTCTCATTCTCACTGCCCACACTTGTTTTGATCTGTGTTGCCCTCTTTCTCTAAATTCTCCATCCACTGTGGATTTCTCGCTGCTTCTGGGCTTGGGACATTCTTCTTCTTCCAAGTCTCTCCTCTTATTGGTGCCTTTTCCTAGAGTCACTATTCTTTCTCATCTCCCCTGATCCATTTCCACAGAGCCTTCAGAGTCACCTTCCAGGGTGGAGGGAAGGCAGGAGAAAGCCAGGCAGGAGGCCACAGTGCTTGAAAAAAAACGTACTCATACCTTATTTTTGTAACTGTAAACCCTCAAATTAAATTTAAGCAAAAGAACTACCTGCCAGGGCAGCTCCCGAGGCCCTTCTCTCCCACCATTTTCATGGCTCAGCTCTCTTCTGCCAGAAGGCAACATAGGTTACTTTTCCAACTCTGGCTTCTCCCATGAGCTCCTTCAGAACAGTAGGCAGTGCTCTCTCCCTCACGACCAGCCTCACCAGCCACCACAGAACAGCAGGGTAGAAACAGATATTACTAAGTTACTTGAGGCAGCAGAGGCTAGTGACCTGCCACTTAAGATCTGGAGACCAGACAAGAACTAACCTTCCTGTTTCTATTTCAGCTCAGCCAACCCCAAACAAATGCACCAGAATCACACTCAGCATCTATGTTGTGTTACTCCTTGCCTTATCCGCCTTATTTGTCAACCAAGGTGAGTCTTTGAGTTAACGGATGCTCTGGCCACAATTGGGAAGGAAAGAGGGACAGATAGGTGAAGACTGAGGATGTAAAAATGAAATCCTAGTGTCCTACTCCAGTCTCTCAATGCTTCTTCTCATGCTGACAGGAGACAGGAGAAGTCCACCTCCTAGCACTTGGTGGCAATAGCTTGGGCATATTCAGTGCCAACATCAGCAATGGTCCCTCTCACAGAGCAGTGGGAAAGGGAGGGGCTCTACCAAGATATGGCCTATTGATTCTAAAAGGGCTGAGCAGAATTAGTTCACATCAGATGCCCAATTGTGAGGGTCCAGTGATACTTGTGAGGGAACAACAGGAACACAAAAAAGGAAAATATCCAATGGGAGTCATAACAGCGTGGTAGCTCTGTCCTTGATGTGTAGACATGAAGGTGATTCTATCTTACAGATGAACAGGAGGGTGGCCAGTGTCTCATTCCCAAGCTAGGCAACTGGAAAGGCCTTTCCTGACCCAACTCAGAAGCAGAAGTAGTTCAGGGCTGCACTCCCATGCAATGTGGCCTGAAGTCTGAGCAGCTGAGGTAGGAAGCTGAGAGTCCAGTTGGCCCAGCCTCAGGCTAGAAGGAAACCAGACCAACGGGGACTCTTGGAATCTAGGAGCCACCTGGCATCCAGCCTCCTGGAGGTGTTCTATCCTGAACCAGCTCAGTGGCCTCTCCTCAGAGCAGATTTAACCCCAGAGACAGAGGGGATTAAGCTGTGGCTGGTATCAAGTGCTTCCCCAGCTGAGCTGACCAGGAATGCACAAGGTGGAGACAGGGTCATGATATCAGAGCTGTGTGGATCCCAGGTGAGTGGTTGCCCCAATGCCAGGGCAACCAGAAACCAGACCCTTGTCTATGGTCTGACCACCCCTTAGAGCAGAGTGTAGATCAAGGAGCAAGTCAGGCATTACAGCTTCAGGCCTGAGCACTACAATCTATAAGAGGCCCTGCAGCTGAATGTGGGTTATGGGAAATGGCTGTAAGGAGCGGAGGTGATGCGTGAGGGAGACACATGACACTTAGTGAGGGGAGCTCTGAGATGGGGTGACTGAGAAAGGTCCCTCAGAAGCACCGACCCAAGGTTTCCTCAGGAACTTGCAGTCATGTGTTTCCTTGTTTGTTTATAAAGGATGAAGAATGCCAAACGCCAAAATAACACAGAATGCAAAAAAAAAGACCTGAGAGGACATCTGAGGAGTGAGGTTCCAAGCCAGTGGGAACAGGAAAGTCCATGAAACTCTTACCTCCAATTAATCAGCAAAGAAAGCCATGGCATTGTAGCTCAAGTGGGAGAGTGCTGCCTTGGGCCATAGGAGCTTAGGGCTGGGCGCTGGTGGCTCACAACTGTCATCCTACCTGCTCACGAGGCTGAGCTCTGAGGATCACGGTTCAAAGCCAGCTGCGGCTGCAAAAACCCTGAGAGACTCTTATCTCTAGTAAAGCACCAGAAAAACAGAAGTGGAGCTGTATCTCAAGTGATAGAGCTCTCCTCTTGAGCTGAAGAACTGAGGGACAGCACTCAGGGCCAGAGTTCAAGCCCCACGGCCAACAAAAAAAAGGAGCTTAGGGACAGCTCTCTGAGCCAGAGTTCAAGGCCTTGTACAAGTTTAAAAAGAAAAAAGTTGAAGATGCTCCCAAGAAGCTGATGAGCCCGTGGTGCTGTGAGCGAGGTAATTCTCCATGTCCAGCACTTGCCAAAGCACCGCCTGAAACTCAGTTCTCAAGCACAAGGAAGTTAAACGGCAAATCTAGGAGCCTCCAGCCAAACTCACACTCAGCCCAGCTCTTCTGCTCCTCAAGATCAATATGAGAATTTAGTAGACCTTCCATCTTTTCTCATTTGAGGATCACCATTAGCCCTCGCCCTGGGTCACTGTAAGGCAGACTCTTCTGCCTGGTGCTTTAACTCTCCTGACCACCATGGTAGCCACACCCCTTTCCTCCATTGCTTGGGTGCTACTTAATGTCTTCTGAGATTCAAGGATCCAAGGAAATACTGTAACCTCAACATCTCAGGATTTTCATTCCAGTCTTTGTTATTTTTATTCAGTATATTCTTAACACC